GAGTGAGCGCTCGCTGTTATTGGTGTATTCTTTTAGATCATCCAATCATAATTTTAGATCTAGAAGAATACGTCAATAGCAGCGAACGCTCACTCAACTGTTGAGTCCGCTGAATGCAGCCATTGGCTGCGTTCAGCAGAACGTTTGTTTTGCAACTGTTGGAAGTTTCCTTCGCGCTGATTGGATCATACTTGTAGGTCTAGAAAAATATGTCCTATCTCAACAGACAATCATAAAACGGTTGCAAAACTATTGAGTCTGCTGAACGCAGCTATTGACTGCTGTCCTTTCTTCAGGAGACACTGTCGACACAAGTGTCGTACTATCTTTGTCACTCTCTGAATGTTAAGAAGGATAGAACGATGCTTGTGTCGACTTGTGTCGATTTGTGTGATGTGTCATCAAACGGAAAACAGTGATTGACATACGTTACGATACGTTACGTTGCGTTACGGTTAGGTTACGTTAAGCCCATGGCACATACAACAACGTAAGGCCGTAAGACATAATCAGTAAGCGAATTGGCCAATCACGATAGAGACCGTAAGGCCAGTAGCGAATCCAATCTTACGATTTCTTTACTGCTTACGTATTACGGCCTTACGTTTTTGTATGTGCCATGGGCTTAAGTTGATTCTACATTAGTCGCATCGCAACATCGCAAGCGTTGCAGTCCAATCAACGTCAAGCTATCTCGACTCTGATTGGACTATAACGCCTGCGACACGCTTGCGACGCTGCGATGCGATCAATGTAGAATCAGCTTTACGTTACGTTATGGTTAGGTTACGTTACGTTACGTTACGTTACGTTACGTTACGTTACGTTACGTTACGTTACGTTACGTTACGTTACGTTACGTTGTAGCCGGACATCTATTAAATGTTTTGGTTTTACCTTGTAAGTCCGTTTCTATGAATTCGGTCGCCAGCTCATTTTACCTTTGTAACGAGCAAGGTCTAATAGGAAGTCTCGGGCTGCCGTGCGCCTTGTTGCTTTTCCTTAGGTGCCCTTCCTTCCTTCGTAATGGTGTAGCCTGGATGTAGTCCTTGCCTCTTGTTGGGAATCCCTCTTTCGTTTTTAGGCAGCTTTAGGACCGGCTGCACCCTCATTAGACTTCGTTGTATCAGTTTATATCTTTGTTTCACACCGCTCGTTTATGTTATTTAAATCTCGTTTACTATTTGTACGTTTAACGGTGGATGGGTGAATGTATTATGACTCGAGTTATATAAAAAATTAAAATGTTTATTTCACAAATTCAACAAATCAGTCTCTCGGTCGCATTCACTCTTACAATATTTATCTCCCGTTCTTCCTTCTCAAACAGGGCTTGAGATCTACCCTTTCTCGGTTTACGCGCTTTATTCCAACAATGGCGTCTGTTGCTACGCAACTCTTTTCGGCGCCTTCTCTATTCCGCGTTTCTATTACTTTTACGGCCCTAATCTATTGATTATTATTGTTTCGGCCTAACGTCTGTATTAATCCGATAATTCGTTCGTCCGATCGCGTTTTTCACGATATTCCTACAACGTATTTTTAACCGCGCCTGTCTTCGCGTTCGCGTCTATAATAGTTATTTAACCTCGGCAGTTTCTGAACAAACCGAGTTACCTGATTGGCTAAAAATAAAGAATTATTACAAACTTAAATTTTATATCTCTTTCGGTAACCTATCCTATGATAATCTAAATTAAACATCGGTGGTTCCCTACCTTACCGATTTATCCTTTTGCTAAAAAATAATGTTGATTAAATTTTTGTTTTATTTGTTTATGTGGTATATAATAACCTAAAAATATGAAAAATTATTAAATTGCCGACTTATGAACTAAATAATTATAATCGATAAGCCTCTTGCCCACTTTATCGACCTCTTGATCGCGGCTAATACTAATTTCTTTTTTAGACTTAAAATTTTGTTTCGTTTATGTTATTTATACAGTAAAATAATCGTTTATTATAATAAGGGTTAAAATATGTTTTTATTAAAATAATTAATTTTTATTTTGTTTTATAATTTTTAGGTGACGTCTTCTTTCTTGTCCTCTTCTATCTGGATTTCCTCCGCTACTTCCTGGGTTTCCAAGGTAAGTATTTCCTATTGTTGAATTAAAATAAATTATAATTGTGCACGAATGTATTCGGTCACAACGTTACGTTACGTTACGTTACGTTACGTTATGGTTAAAGCCGCAGGGATGCGTTCAGATTGAAAATTTTTCATCCGGACAAGGGTGTCCATGGGTAATGTGACGTCACACACTTGGACGTTTTCATTCTAAACGAACAGGACGAACAATTTTATTGTCTAAAGCGTAATACAAGTGGTCGAATTTATGCGGGGTCTACAATAGTGATTGAAATTCAATAGTGATTGAAATTCCTTTGCAGTACTACAATATTTAAAACTGTATACTCAATAAAATATTTTATTCGAGATGGAACTTTTTTTTGAGAATTTGACAATTTCTCAACATATAATTCTTTACTAATTAGCTCCTCTTCTTCGGAATCATCATTAGACTCGATATCTTTAAAAGAAAACGTTTTATATAATGTAATAGCACCTTGTACTATACAATTCTCTATCATACTTTTCAACTAAAAATTAATAACATAAAATAAATTAATAGAATTATTATGTTTCTTTTATATTGAGTAATTCTCTCTTAATAAAATTCATACATATATATTTACTACTTCTTTTTTTACATTAATATTACATTAGTAATAATATATTGTTATAGAATGAACAATGTAAATAAAAAATGTATATAATCACTTACAAAGTTAAAATTATTCTTTTCACTTCAGACACATACTATCTCAAGATTCAACTTTTCTTACTAATAATAATAACCTCAAATCATATATAGTTCTTATAGGTTGCGTAGACATACATAAATAGACTTTTCTGCGCATGTCGGGCAAAATTCGCCGCAGTCTCGATTTACGGGCGTTTTTCTTTTACTTTCCTGAGGGACATCGTTCTCTCCTACATTTTCTGTTTTTTAACAATAATTTTTGCATCGGTCGCTTAAGGCCATCACACGTACAAAAATTTTAGTCGTAATCGCAAGCAAATCGACCAATCACAATCAAAATTACGATCTCGCGTTTTAAAACGCTCGATTGTGATTGGCCGATTTGTTTACGGCCTTACGATTACGACTAAAATTTTTGTACGTGTGATGGCCTTTAGTTTCTAGCCCTTTCATTCTCTCCCCCGCATATGGCCTCGGCCTCGGGCGGAGGACACGAAACCGGTAGTCGTACAAACACAGTTTTTTCGCTTAACCCTCCTTCCTTCATTTATAATCCTAATCCTATTTCTTCTAACAGCATGAATGCCAATATAAATTTCGCTCAAGATCCCAATCTTTCCAGTATTTCCGAAGCTACTGAATGATCTCATTCAAGAATAGGGTATCTCCGATATGACCACGCATAATTCAACAGAGAGTGTATTCCGAACCGGATTAGCTTGGCTTATTTTTTTCCTTAGATGTTGGCAGTTCTGTAACTAAACCGAGAAGTGTTCGAGTGTACCGAGAACCCATCGGTTGTCGAACTCAATTACTGGCTTCTATTGGTTACGAGTTATGACAGCCGACGGGTTCGGAACACTTCTCGGTGTAGTTACGGAACTGCCAACATCTAAAGGAAAAAATAAGCTAAGCTAATCCGGTTCGGAATACACCCAGAGGCTATTGCGTCAGCCCTCAAGCATGATGCAATCTCTGAACACAGAAGTATATCTCTGCCTTAAGCAAGATTCCCGCCAAGTGTTCGAGACAGAGTGGACGTGCTTCGGCGGTATCGTTTCGCGAATTTTGCTATCTCGAGCGGTCTTTCATCTTAATCAGTCCTTTTTAGGACTTGTTTTCT